CCTCGCATGGCCATGGGCAGGTATGCCCTAGTTCACGCACCCTGGGTTCATCACTGGTTTCAAATCCTGGATCGCGTGGTTGGTCCCTCAACATCCTTACGCGCTGCCATGGCCAAGACCATGCTGGATCAGGTGCGCAGCTCGCCTACCATGGGCCACACACATCTGTCAAACCACACTGGGCTGGTCCGCTTGTGAATTGGTTCTACATTCTCGTTCAACCCACGGGCCCTTTTCCTCTTAGAGTATATCCATGCCCGTCATTCTTTTTGGAATGCTGGTCTACACTGGGTTCATGGGCGGCCTTGATCTTGAGGCGGCCATTGCCCGTGCCCGCGAGAACCACGTTGCAGTCATGACAGGTGAGGATCTCAGCTTGTGGTGTTGGCATGGCACGGAGCGAGATCAGGGTTTTGTGCGTAACAACGCAGCGCAATGCTCGGTTTACCTTTAGGGGCGGCCATGACATGGATCCCGGCCTTGACTATCAACTTTGCGCTGGTTCCGCCCCACCTGCGCTTGCTCTTCATTAACATGGTCATGGTCAGTCGAACCGAATTCTTAAAGAAGCTCCCCATCCTGTTGAGTGTCTTTTCGTACACGGGCGTTCAGGAGCCACACTGCACCTCTTTACTCACAATGCTGATTGGCGTGACGTTGTTGATGTACTTTTGTTCCCTTCTTGGACTGATTGCCGCAGTGTGGGTTTGGGATTTTTATTAGTAAGATGGCAAACAAGAAGAGCGAGGAAGGGGAATCATAGATGCATCTGCACGCGCTCACAAGCAAGCACAGCTCGAGCGATTGAAGCGATATGCAGGCAAAAAATGCTCTGAAACGGCCAGGCCCTCACGTTGGCGATGGCGCATCTGGGCCAGCCGACTCATTTCCTGAAGCTGACACGCCAGCGTCTTGTTTGGGTGTGGTCAATGTCGCGGCCTCTCTGAGCACGTCTGCTGCAGCTTGATTGAGCTTTGCGACGCTGGTGTCATCCACCATCTCATGTCTCACTGAGACAGAGAGCGATGCCGTGGATCTTGACGTTGACGATGAAGAGGATGATGATGATGATGATGTAGAACTTGAGCGAGATGCGCGTGCGCTGACGCTCATGCTGCCCGAGGCAGCTTTGTCAACCTGTGGTGTGTCGGCATTTTGCTGATCAGTGTCACCCTGAGCAATGAGCCCCTGCGCATCGCCGAGGAGTGTGGTAATATCAGCATTGTCAGAATTGATAGAAGTCTGTGCTTTATCGGCGTCTCGTTGCCATTGCTGGGCCAAATCGACGAGCGGCATGTCAGCATCGGCTGAAAGAGGCCCGTCATCGCCCGGTAATGCGCGGCTTGCAGTCAGGTCCTTAGGGTCCGAGTCGTGTTCAACCTTGGCATCGAGGGTCGCGCCTGGTTCCGAGTCTCCCTCGTTGATTTTTTGGATGGGCCACTTGCCGGCCGCGAGGTCTCGTAAAGTTTGTTCATCCAACCAGTCATCGGCAGCGTCACTGCAGTTTGATGCAGCGTCGCCGTCTGCGTGCAGGCCGGCTCCACGGGCGAGCTGCGCCTCGTCCATGGCTTGCTGCACGAGCAAATCAGCCTTTTCAGCCTCGGACAGATCTGCTTCCTGTTGAGCTGCATCATGCCAGTCGCTGACACGTGCATGTTGGATGACGCGCTGGCCACCCGAGACCTTGGCTAACCGTTCGGCAAGATCAGCTTCCGAAGATACATGGCCTTGTTGTGGACCTTGATGCCTGAGCCAAGATGAACATGAAAAAAAGGAGCATAAAAAGGGAGCCAATCAACATGATTCGTGCCCCAGGCACGGCAAGGCAGTGGTCAGCGCGGTACCAAGCTGCTTATCTCATGTACATGCACGGGAGCAAACGAGCAAAAAAAGGAAACCAAGGGCTGCCATTAGCGCGGGTCATGTCGACGCACCCTCGCACTTGATCCAACCGCGCTTGCAGTCTTGCGCCCGCATCGACCGTCTTGTGGGCTGAGGCTGGTTGCGGTGACCTGTCGGCACGTAAGGCTTCCAAGCGTCGCTGCAGCTCGTCCATAGTGGGAATGGATGCTGGTTGCTCAAATGGAGCCGCGTCACCTTTCTGCGCTTGCGGCACGGAGGGTAGGGAAGACGAAGGAAGCGCCTGGTCACACGCTGAGTCAGTCTCAAGCATGATGTCTGCTTGAGGTGTGGGTTGCGAGGCATTGGCAGGCACATGTGTAGGATTGTGAGCTAGTTGTCGGGCTGGACTCAGAGCCTGGGGCTGAAAAGACCTTGAGCCCACACCACGACGCTCATATTGCTCGCGCAGCCAGCGGGGAAGCTGATCCAGGTGCTGTTGCTGTTGCTGGCCTGCATGCTGCTGTTGAGAGGCTGACGCGACAGCTGCATTGGTGTTGTTTGCTGCATCGGGCGCCCGCATTTGGTTTGCACAGGTTGGGCAACAGCGTTTTGATGTGCTGTCAGTGCCGGACCCTCGGCTTTGCTGTGCGCATGCATGGCACAAGTAGCACCCGCAGACGGCACAGACACCCTATACATGAGCGCGCAGTTCAAGCTTCAGAGCAGCGATTGAACCACAGGTGCAGGAGGGCCGCTACACAAAGCCACGTGCTCGGACCCCACCAGGCTGTCTGTCCCACTGACCTCGCGGTTGGTGAGCCAGCCAAAAGGCCGCCGACAAACAGCACACGCCGATGGCATGTTTTGCTGCTCATCAATAAAATTTTTAACGCAAATGCAAGTGAGTTTACCACGAACAAGAACAAACCAGAATAGATGACATCGTTTAGTGAATCGGATTTTTTTCGTTTTTTTTTTTTAAAAGGTGGTCAATTAATAGAATTTATCAGACCAGGAACTGGTCGTGAGCGAGATGGGAAATGAGGCATGTGCACAGCACCGCTAGCTCAGTGCGGCAGACACGGCGCGTGCGTTGTGGTGCGGCCGACACTTGGAACCCGGTTTTGGTTCTGGTAGCCTGGGGGGACCAAGTGTGCACATCAGAAGTAGCGAGGCACGAGCGAGAAGCCACTCCGCTATTGCGCATCACACAGAGCTTTGCCAAGCCACGAGGGCACTTACTTCTTTTCCTCATGAAGCAAATACAAGCGTTGGGTCACGCTGACAAAGGTGCCCAGACCAGGGGTAACAGTTTTGTGTGTCTCAGCTTGCAGGGCCCCTTGTGCCTCAAGGCAGAACTGATATACCTGTTCCATCGTCAAACGCAGTTCCGGACGCTCAAATCCCCGCAGTCGTGGGAAGCGCTCGCTCGATTCCCTGCCCCACGCAGCGTACGACAAACATGAGGGCGACTTAAAGTGCGAAAAAGGGGCAACGGTTTAAAAAACAAAAAACAAACAAACAAAAGAGGTGGTCCCCTTGCCCAAACCTCCAGTTTAACAATTCACAGGGTGGCGTACCGTGTGCAAGGCCGACAACCCGGGGCCTCGTCATCCCGGCTAGCACAGCATGTCCAGGCTCCCGCATACAGGCCTGGGTGATACGTGGGGCTAAGCCCCATGTTGTTCTCGCAGTAGCGGCGCAAGGACAAAATCCATTCTGTGCGATCCACCGCGTTTTCGGCCGCCAGGTACAGAGGTTGTTGCTTGGCCAGCAGCACCTGAAAAGCAAACTATACAGATTGATGCCCATGCAGCACGTTGTATCAGTCAAGCGACCACCGTCTTTTTGTTCTTTCTTTGCGTCCATGACTAGACATGGCATACCTCGCCCAAAGCGTCTTCCTGGGCCAGCTCGACGCCAATAATGTCTTGAGGCGTAAATTTGCCCAGAGCCGGGCCACCTGCAGCGGATATGACAAGGACGGAAGCCGTTCAGATGCAGCACGGCCGAAATTGAGCTGGGAAGCGCCTGGATACTCATATCTCACCTTTATCCTTGTGATAAGATAGCCCTTCATTGCTGAGGATGACAAAGCGTCGCTTGAGGTTTTTGAGACCGCTCACGTTCATGCCCATGACGCTCTTCTTTCGACCAAGGCCTCGCTTGGTCAAGAAACTAGGTGGCATGTACGCACGATCAGAAAAAACCGCCCCAGCATTTCAAACATCAACCGACCCGTAAGCATACCCTTCTTTAATGACAGCCAGAAGGCTGCCGGCAGGCCGATATGCTGAGCTGAGTCGACGCGTTGCACTCTCCTGTGACAAAGACAAGGAATAGAAGAAGAAGAAGAAGAAGAAGAAGATAAAAAAAAAAAACAAAAAAAAAAAACAAAAAAAAAAAAACGTGAAACAACTGCAGAGTACGATGGAACGCTTTGGCCGCACGGCGGTCGCGGGGAGCAGGCCAATCGTACATGGTCCTTCAATGAGGACAATTTGTCTAGGAAAAAGCGAACCCGGCCACTCTGGCGCTCATGCACGTTCTTCAAAATGTCTTTCATAAAAGCCTCTTTCAGGTTGCTAATTGCAGGCAAGGCAGAGACACCTCGTTGAATAAAAAGAAAGGGCTGGGGATTGGGCGGCCCTTTGAAAGCGGGCATGCAAGTGCCGTACCTTTCGGTGCCAAGATTTCCCAGGCTTTGAACCAGCTTGGAAATCAGGGTGAGAGTGCGCTTGACGGCCGGCGTTGGAATGACTTGGCAGAGGTCAAACGACTGCGGATTCTGCTCTCAGACATGTCGATGCATGCAGGTGGAATGCAATGACGCGGGAGCAACGGCGGACAATGGGGTGACACCACGGTTAGAACGCATTTGCATTGCTCTCAGCGCGCCACAAAGAAATCTCTCGGACAACATGCTGGCTCATACGAGAATGGCGGCCGCAAAAAACCGAAGAAAGATAAAGCCGCTCACAGCCCGCAACGGTGTGGTGGAATCCTCTATCGAGATGGTAATTTGATCGGTGAACGGCAAAAATAACACAACAACGCAAAGCTCAAAAGACAGTGAAGTATTTCGGCATCGCCTTGTTGGCTGGGATGACACACCTGGAAATCTTTGGCGGGCTTTTGTTGCTATGGCCGTCATGATCACTTTGATGTCATCGGTGACCATAGAGGTAGATGATACCATGTCGATCAAGGCCTGTTCAACCTGTTCGAACGTGTGATAGAGCAGGGGTCAGCGGCGCCAAGGGCTTAGGCCAAACGCAGAGCATCGGTGGCCAAATCTAGACAAGCAAGGATACATTTCATGCGTACGAGCTGCTTGAGTTGAAACTGGTTCTGCTCCAAGACGGCGGGTGAGCTCACAAGGTCAGGGTTGATCTCCAAAGCCACCTGTAACAAAAGGCCATACGATACAGACGATAAGACGGTCGGATCGAATGACGCAAATGTGTCAGGCCTATGGCCACCATACAAAATCCGCAGAGACTAACCTCATGAGTAAGGACTTCGTTGAGGACTTGACTGAGGGTGTACCACAACATGTTGCTGCCGTTCATGCGCAAATATTGTTCGACCACTTTGGTAGCCAAGGTGTTGCCACGGAATAGCGTGGGCGCGCTCGAACATTGATCGATGTCGTGTTGCGCCACCTTGATCGCAAACTCTATATCACGATCTATGGGCGAGTCCAGCAGGCAAATTTGAACAAGATGTTTTCACTCAGCGGTGCTTGCTGGGCTCGATTATCACAGGGTCGCCCTACCAAGATGCTGGTATGCCAAGAGGAGGGTGCGAGCCAGCTTTTCCAAATTTTTAACCCGTTGGGCCAACTGCAGCACATCATACGACCGGAGAGGTGAGAGTTTGTGCGGTCAAATCCAAGGCAGCAAGCGCCCCGTTTTGAAAGATACCTCTAGAATCGGCGACTCATGAAAGGGTTCATACTCCAAAGCTTCACGCAAAAATGTTTGCAAGCATCTGGTGAGAAGAGATGGAGACGATGATGTAAACAAGCAACATTGTCGTTAGCCCTTGCACGTCATGTGCAGAATGTGGGAGCGTCTTTTTGACGAAGGAAGAAAAAAAAGATAAACCAAGAAACAAGGGAAAAAAAAAAGAGAAGAGAAGAGAAGAGAAGAGAAGAGAAGAGAAGAGAACAAAATCGAAAAACGAGCAACAAAACTCAAGGTATGATCCAACAGGTATGATCCAACATACTCGTAATTGTCAATGGGAAGTAGCTGCAACTCGGCCAGCACCGCCTTGATGCGCAAGGATCCAAGCTCAGGCAACACCTCCGCAGTCTCTTCTTTAACCTGCTGTAAGCATCAAAGACCAGTTCGATTGAGCCACCCCTGAAGAATTTGAGGTGTGTGGCAATACTTTCTCTAGCAGGAGCAATACCTGTTGTTGCAGAGTTTCACTTTGAACGGCAAACCATTCACCAAGAGCTCCCAGTGTGGAGGCAGCGCCCTCGCTCTTGCAACGTGTCGCACGCGTGGTAGCCTGCGGGTTATAACAATTCGTGTTTTCAGTGACTGCGCCGTTGTAATGCAAAACGTCCACAGACACAAGCCCTCAACCACAACCTACCAAGTGTTTGGACTCTATTGGTACCACTGAGAAGCCAAGAAGACGGTCATCTTGATCTTCCAATGCTTGCCACACGGAAACGCGCACAACAGGTGCTACGCCTGTCGGCCAACAAAGCTTCATTTGATCCACAGCTGAATTGCCAATGGGGCCCCCAGAGTGAGCCAAAAAGATACGATCAATCCGGCTGGAAGAGTATTCCACTAGTCCAGAACCGCGTATTCGCTCACGATGGGTGGCCGCATACATGGGAGGGGAACGCACCAATCTGCTTGGGGGTGACGGGAAGAACAAAGGTTTCACACCAAATAGGGTCGCGATCACGTCGGAAAACTTTGGTGTGGCACACTTGCTGCGCAGCAAGCAACACATGAGAAGAAATCACAACGGGGTCTGGGGTGCAAAGCTAGGTGGCTTCCGGCGCGCCCATAAACAATAGAACAGAACAGGGCCAGCTGGGAAGAACAATAGCAGGAAGGGCATGGCATGCAAGTTGAAGCGCACGCACCTCGGCGTGTTTGTAAACAGCATCGGGCGTATGGAGATAGACACCGCTGACGGCGTTCTGATCTAGGGTAATCAGGGCATAGAGGTTCGGGAGCCTGAACGTGGCGCCCTCAATGATCATGATTTTTGCCATCAGAGTGTCTGGTGCCATGGCGGCGCGTTGGAACGCTGGCTCTTGAATGTCACGATGGGCTTGGATCTCGATGTCAATATTGACCTTGCCCATGACCTGAGAATCCCCCAAAGGCTGATTTGCGAGAGAGGCAAAGTCAGCCGGCTAGTCTGAGGCATGCGTGGCGGTACTGCACATGCATGGCGAAGCATTGCCAATCCGTGCAACTCTGGAAAAAAAAAGACAGCCCACTTTTACTCACTCGCAACGGCAGCCACTTGTCCAACGGGCCCTCGGCCAGCATTTCTCGCTTATCCAAGGTCACCTGTGAGCATCGCAGGAGATCCAATGCACGACCAAAGGCGGGGTCGAGTCAAGAACCAGGTGCCCAGGGCGGCCTGTAAAGTTGAGCCGAGTCTCACCATGGCAATGGGTTCATCTTTGGTCCGCTCACTGCGCGCATATAGGACAAGCCGAATCTGTCGACAAACAAACAGTGAGGCCTCTTGCGAATGACAATTGGATGACCACGTGCAAATAGGCGGCGGCGGTGAGCGAAACGCTTCTCGATACAGACCAGCTCAAAGTCCTCTGGGATCCGGACACGCACATCTTCCTGCCAAAATGGCCTGCCAAAATTGTGGGCCACACCGGATGAGCGGCAACTCACCATGAATCTACAGCCTCGCCTGGTGGGGATAAAGGTGATGTACGCAGGGGAAAGCCCAACCAGGGCCGACACGACTCACCGGTCCTCAGCTAGCGCGCGCGTGCTGGCAACCAGGTCACCATCAATCTGCAGTAGCACATAGTATTTGCATCCACTCTCTAACGCATAGGCTTTGGGATTCCATTCCACTACGCCGAGAATCAACCATCAGAGGTCGAAACACAGGCCAAAACAGGGGAGCTGAAAAAGCTGTTTGCTCTCGCGTCGGGGCGTGGGTCGATGTTCACTTGACCGAGACGCGCAGTGTGCTTCTGTACATCTACGCTGAGACTTACCAACGTTGAGCTGCAAGTGACGGTCCCAGTCAACGCCATCAGTCCCATGAGCCAGCCGAGAAATGCTCTGGGCCGCTGCCAAAAGCTGAAAAGACACCAGATGTGACGGGTGTGAGACCAAAGCATTCAAGCAAACTTGACCCAGGATGGCCATCAAGAATATTTTCTCTCGTTGGTTTACGCACCTGGTTGAGTGACTGCCCGCGTGTGACCGACATGACGTTGGAGTGCTAGGACCTTTGTGCTTTGGTATGTGGCCGTGTGGTCAAGGGGGCTGAAAGGGCCGAGGAACTGCGCCTAAGCTTGGCTCGGGGCGTGTGGCTCCTGAACCTTCACAGCTGCTTGTGTTAGCAAACCTGCCTTCCGAAGCCTCAGCCAAGCTGCACGGCTGAAGACCACACTGGTCAGACGTTAGTGTTCCCTCGAACCAGTCCACCAGTGTGCCTACACCCACCCACCCACACACGCGCGCGCGTACACACACGCACACGCACTCACACACACCCTCACACGCGCACACCCGCCAACCGCCAACGAGTTGTGGTGCATCCGACGCGATGCGCCAAATGGATCAAGAAACGTGACAATTCCAACATCGGATGTAACAACATTAAAAGCAACTCATGAACCAACACACATACGCACAACACACACAAGCACCAAGGGCATCATCAACAGTCCGCGCAACCATCTTGGACGAGCGGGTGTTTCGGGTTTGAGGATCATCAATTATTTTCAACGCCAATGATGGCTTGAGGATGAGTATTCATAGCCTCGCAGAAAGGGCGGCATGCATCGTTGGTCTCGCTGCCATAGGGAAAAAAACAAGCAAAAAAACAAACCAAAAAACAAACAAGCATTATCCCATATTGTTTTGGTTGCAGATCACAACGTGGTCATGCTTGCCAGCGCGAGTGATGAGCGCACGTGGACTAAAAGCGCGGAAACCAGCCGCCGCCACGTTCGGCCTGGGGAGCGTCGACAGTTTGCAACTGCTGAAGCTCATTTAGCTCTTCGGGGGTAAAGTGTAGGAGCATCGAGAGCACAGGGACCAGCTGGGGCCGCTCATCGCGTTTTTGCAAAAACTGTAGGATAACATTCTTCAAGTACTCTATGTTGAGCTCACCTCGCGTCTCACTGCGCTCATTTCGACGCAGCTCGTCTTTCAGCAACTATGGTTTTGACGCAGCGCACGTGAGAAGAGGGCTGCAAGTGGTGCAACAGGCGGACTTTCAGATTTGAGAGAGCAGAGCAGAGCACACCTTGAGTTGCTCCGTCAGTCGATCCACATTCACCTCGCTCTCGTTGAGCAGAGAAGTCAGGTGACCGACCTATTTGGCGTGCAGGCACCATTAGCAGGGTCGAGGACAGGGCTGCTTACGAGCCCAAGTTTAGACCGCATGTCTCACCTGCTGCTGGGATTTGGTAAATGCGCGGGCGAGCTGCTCCGGCGTTAGACCAGACAGGTTGATTGCAGCATCTACATCCAGCCATGACCAAAAATCGGATTTCATCATTGGCAAGTCGAGTTGAAAGCTTGTGAAAATGCGGTCAGAAAAAGTCACCTCTTGCAAGCGCACCAACTAACCGGACACTTCCGATGGTGATCGGTTGGCAATTAAGCCAGCCAGGTCTAAGCCACTGCTATCTGATGCTGACGGGCTGGCATGTTCACGCTCAACCTCTTGGAGAAGATGCTGTGTTTGAAAGGATTGCGAAGCAGTTTGCCGATGATCACCGGCGCCACTGTATTGTGACGATGAGCGCCGATGCCCGCGTTCTCGATGCGAGTCAGCCACCTGATCCTGTGCTTCGTGCAGTTGGGCGCTGAAGCCCCGGCAAAAACCATGCAGTGCCAAAAATGAGCCACAATCATGATAAAGGCAAGGGAGAGAGAGAAGAAGAAGAAGAAGAAGAAGAAGAAGAAGAAGAAGAAGAAGAAGAAGAAGAAGAAGAAGAAGAAGAAGAAGAAGAAGAAGAAGAAGAAGAAGAAGAAGAAGAAGAAGAAGAAGAAGAAGAAGAAGAAGAAGAAGAAGAAGAAGAAGAAGAAGAAGAAGAAGAAGAAGAAGAAGAAGAAGAAGAAGAAGAAGAAGAAGAAGAAGAAGAAGAAGAAGAAGAAGGCATCGACCCAAGGGTAGATCTCTTAAGAGGATAAGGACAGGAGCTCAATCCACCCAAACAGCAAAATATAAACAGATGCAAATGCTCGAGGTTGATTGCGCACAAACCGTAGCACAGTGATTTGGTCATCTTTTTCGGCGTTGGCCAGCTCGAGCTCTTCAAGGCGTGCGGCGCTCTTGGCCTTGACTTCATCTACGATGCGTTGGCTGTCCGCTTGGACACGAGCCAGCAAGTCTTCCGTGTCATGGTGTGTTGTATCTAAGACCTCGCGCAGGCGCTTCAGCTACCCAAGTCAAAAAAGGGATGGCGTGATGTGAGTATTAAGTAAGACCGGCAAAGGAATCCGCTAGTCATGGCATCTCAGAAAGGCACGATAAGTTGAAAACTCAATGCAGTACCTCTTCCTCACTCTGCTGAGCCTGCTCAGTGTATTGCTGTTTGGCGCGGAGAAATTCACCCTCCAAACGATTGGCATGCTCTATTTTATCGTGATCAATGCCTCGTGTCAGTGTTTTCACAATTCATGGGCAATGCATTTATACGCACAAAACCAAAAGAGGAAAACAAGAACAAAAACACAAAGGTCCCCGCCGTGAATTGCACGCGAGTCCAGGTTTTGACGAAGGGAGCTGTCGTACCTTCAAGCTCACGATACGCTGTTTGTGAATCGGCCACGACGGCCTCGCGCTGCGCCAGCTCGTCCTGGAGCCCTTTAATCTATGGCATGCCACGTGGCTAAGCAGGAGGAAACGCTTGCAAGCAGCAAGGGCGTACATTCAGGCGCCTCACCCTCTGCTTGGCGGCCTCAAGCTTCTCCCGGATACCCTGCAGCTCCTGGTGCTGTCGTTCTTGGCTGAGCACTGACTGTGCTCGGACCTAGGTGCGCATTCAGTCGACACATACTCGTTAAATCCCATTGCAGGCGACATCTGCTGGTATCACATCGCGGTTTCGGCTAGATGCAAGTTGGGACTGGCCGGTTGAATCCGGCTCACCTTGTACTTGTGAAACTCAGCGTTGGTCGACTGCAGATTTGCTTGAGATGTCTGCAGTTCACGTTGCAAGGTGCTCAGCTGGAATCGCAGGTCGCGCTTTTCAACGTCGTGCGTCATCTCGCTTTCACGATTCAAGGCCTCCAGGTTGGTGACGTGCTGATTCAAGCTATCCAGCTCTTGTGAAACTGTCTGCATTTGCTCCTCTTTGTCTGCAATCTAACAGTCACGCACAGGCAAATGAAACAAAAAACAAACATTGTCAGTAAGGTGGCCTTTTAAATCACGTCTGCCAAGGCCCCGTGAGATCAGGCTATTGCGCGCGTGTAGATGCGAGAGATATTCTGAAGCAAGTGGGCGTGCCAAGGACCACGACGACAACACACCTCGTCTCGTGCTGCGGCAAGCTCGCGATCCTTCTGCTCGAGCTGGTTTTTATGTTCTTGGAGCTCATTCTTGACCTTAAGGAGAAGGGAGCGAAGCTTACCAATCTGCTCAGTGGCCTTTGACTTGGCGGTCTCTCCTGCGGGTTGAAGACGAACATGGACCATAGAGGCGCACGAACAGCATGATCTTGCGACGCGGCCAATGACACACACGCTTCATCTTAAAAAACCAAGAACCCAAAACGGACAGGCACAAAAAAGTATACATGCAGACACAACGAACGGCGTGGGGAGCGCACCGGTGGTCAGATTGGACCGCAGGTCCTTGACTTGGGCCTCCAATTCATTGGCACGCGCTTTGACACTGGTCATCTCAGCTTTGAGATCTTCGTTGAGGGTATGCAGCTTGTCCACCGTACGTTTGTAGTCGGCAATCTCCAGGTCAAGCATGGTGGATTGGGACAAATCGGCGGTGGCTTCGGATAGGCGGGCCTGAGCAGCACCATGCGCCTCCTTTTCCGCTTGCAGCTCAGCCTCAAGTCGGGTGATGGTCAGTTGCTGTTGCTCCACGCGATGTTGTAGCGCCTTCAAGTCAGCAAAGAGCTGGGTGTTGCGGTCCTCGAGGGTTTGCTGAGTTGTTGTGTAGCGTAGTTCCAACGCCTCAACCTCCTCTGCATGTCTACTTTCCAAGAGGTCTCGCTCCTGCGTCAGGCTTGTCTGCGCAGCCGCGAGTTGGGCCTGCACACCTTCAAGGCTAGTTTCAAGATCAGCAACACGGGCACGCGCCGCTGCTAGCGCCTCAGCCTCTGTGGCTGCACTTTGCTCACCAACAGCCTGGCTGGCGCGTGCCGTCTCCAATTCACTCTGCACCTGGGCTAAAGCTGCTTGTGTTTCATCGTTCGCTTTCTCCAGCAGAGCCATGTCGGCGCGTAATTCGTGCTCGCGTTGCTCACCGAGAGCCAGTTGCTCCTGCAACGAGGTGTGCGCCGCTTGAAGACGGGCCATCTCTACAGCATGGGTTGCCGCGGCATCTTCATCGGTGGGTGAGCCCGCAGCTGTAGTCGCCTCAGGCCGACTGTGGGTGTTGCTAAGGGTCGAGATTTGTGACTCAAGGTCTGCACGCTGTGCAGCCCACTGATCACGTTCCAGCAGCAGCGCGTTGAGCTGCGTCTGCACTTGCTCCATCTCTTCCTGAGCAGCTTGGTCGCTAATATTATTTTCGGGCGTCGCTTGCTGCTCCAACTCGGCCTGTGCCGCACGATAGCGGTTCTCTAGTTCCTCATGCGCGGCTTGCAGGCTATCAAAGCGGGTCTGCAGTGCGTCTAGCTCAAACTGGGCAGTTGTTACTCGCGTTGACTCTTCTGCTTCTGCTTCTGCTGTCTGATCCTGCACCGTCTCCAGGTGTGCTAGACGGGCCTGTAGACCAGAATACTCAGCCTGCAATACCTCAAATTCAGTCTGACGTTCTTGGGTGGCAGCTTCAGCGGTGGCCAGAGCGCGCACGTGCTGTTCTTGCGCCGTCGACAGCTGAGTTTGTAGGCTTGCAATCTGGCTTTCTTGCTCTTGCTGTGCGGCCTAGTGGAAACACAAGCGTGCGTTGACATAAGTGGAGCACCACGGCTGCCTCTCGGAAGCTGGTTTAGGCGAAAAACCTTTTTTTTTTTTTTTTTTTTTTTTACGTTGACACAAACCTGAAAATCTGCCGCCTGTTGCTGCAGCTGGGTCTCAAGGACTTCAATCTTAGCTTGCAGCGCCTGAACGTCCGGTCTCGTTTCGTTCTCATCTTCTGTGGCATGACTGTGACGCAATTCATCGAGTTCGGAGACTAGAGATACTCGTAAGTCGCGCTCGGCCTGCAGCTGTTGCTGGTGACTGGTCAGTTCGCTGATAACATCGGCCTTTTCCTCTTGAGCGCGCGAAAGCAGAGCCAGCGTCTGATGTCATCCAGAGATGCAGGGGCAGGAATAGGGATGATGAGAGTAAGATTCCCTCGGAGATGAGATGTGAGCCAAGCCAAGAACGAGCCTTGCTCTCTACCTGGGCATTGTTCTCTTCCAATTCCGTGACCTAAGCGATGGGTGGGTGGCCACATGCAGGAGTAGATGACAATGCAATCAGCGAAAAGCAGCAAATCCATCCGGCATGCAAGCTTTCCAAGTGCCCTTGCCATTCGTTGAGGACAGGGGCCATGGCGTCTCCAACATACCCGTGCTTCGGCTTCCTTGCTCTTTTTTTGTAGCGCAGCAGCAAGGCGCTTCATCTTCTGCAGCTGCAGCAGCGTCTCGTCTGCGGCTGGAGAGGCCGGGGTGGTTTCACCTCCACCGCTGGCCTTGAGCTGTTCTAATTCGATTCGTGTGGCTGATTCATGCCCAAGACATGCCAATGCCACAGGGGTGCGGGAACGGGAAGAAGCAGCGAATGAACTCGATTCCGCACGCCTTTGGTCACCAATGTGACTTGATGATTATGGCGCAGAGGTGAAGCATACCTTCATAGCGTTCCTTCACACGCTTGAGGAGGGTGAGCTGTTTCTCACTGTGCTGAATAAGATCCTCCTTGCTCATAGCAGCCAGCTTGCTGCGCGCCCCGCTGGCCGCGGTCGGGGTTGCACCCGCCTCAGGGGCGTCGGGGGTTGCCATCTCTGTTGGGACGGCTTGCCACTCGTCCCAAGCGTCTGAATCACTGGATGCCCGAGAAGTACGCCGAGCCGTGCGCCGAGGGGAGCGCCGGGCCGTGCGCGAGCTCGAGCTGGAATCAGTTGCAGCGGTTTCCGCGGAATGGCCAGGAGCCAAGAAGGGAACCCAGTTTGGGTTGGCTTGGCCGTGAGCCTCTGACAAATTGAGATTGGGCTCAGTGGCAGCAGCGGTATCTCGTTTCTAACGGCAAAAAGGAGCCGAATCGCGCGATTAAAGCTGCCACGTCGAGCTGGACCGCACCTTGGCGCGAGGGTTGTCCGAGCCTGCTTTGACACAGACCTGAGGGGCTCGTTGCACGGCCTGATCAAGTTCCGCTTCCAACTGTGCAAAGGAATCACTCAAAGCCCTGAACATGACCTCCACCGATCCGTGGCACGCTATACCTGGCTACACACCTCCCAACCTCAGCCCACCTAATCGATCCCGATTCCAAACACCCCACCACCCGCCGCCGCCGCCGCCGCTGCCACTTCGGATCCAGTGCCTGCCAGCACCCCCCACACACATGCACACTCACACTTACACATCAAGTGAGCCAACATGCACTTTCACCGATTTTCAATATTAGAGGATATTCAGCACCCCTTTAAAGTAGTCGCCTTGGACCAGGTGGTAGAGGGTGGAAGTGTGTTGTTTGATGCACTTTACAACCACGCGCTGTAAGTGCACAGCAAGACCAACGGGACCTTGGCGCTTGTTGGATGTGGGAAGCGGAATGGCACGGAATGGCAGCGCTCGACCGAACAAGCTGAACAAGACGCTGGTGCTCTTGGGATGGCGGGACCATCAGAAAGGGGGACTGAGCTTGCGCCACTGCGTCAGGGAGTCTATGTGAAGAGTGTGAGCAGGAAGGGCAAAATATCGTGCTGTGTTACTGTTTCTTTCTTTTTTTTTTTTTTTTGCGTTCAGTCGGAACGGCTCCCGAGATGCGTGAGGCTATACCGTGACCTGCCCGCTGTGCTTGCCACTGATGGATGATTGGTGCTTTCAAAACCTTTGCCGGGTCCTCTCAGCTGTAGAAGACTTGCTGCCCCTGCACGTTGTCCATCTTCTTTTTGCAACGATATCATGTCGATGAGCACGGGACTCAAGCTTGTAGGTGGCCTCGGCCTGGCAGCTGGCCTCGCCTACTGCGTCTATTTTGACTACAAGCGCACCCATGCTCCGGATTATCAGGAGAAGATTCGCAAGCGTAAGTGATCGGCTGCAAGCATGAAACCAGGCTCATTACGACAGATAATGCCAGTGGGATCTGGCTAGGCTGCATCGCCTTTTTCTCCTGTTGATCTCCCTCCTTCGCGTATGGTGAAACAAATTTGCACCGCACCAGCTCACTATTGGCGCTTTAATATTTGCTCCTTCTCCCTGCAAATTCGAACGTTTCACTTCACCATTATCAGGTCGTGAGGAGCAAAATGCCAAGGTCAGCCTTCCCACCCCATCCCGATTGCTTATTGCACTGGTTTGAATGCTCTCTTGACGGTTTGTCTCATTCATGTTTGGCAAGTAGAAGCAGTCTACGATTGACCCCAATCAACTGCAGGCCATCTTCAACAAGTGCATCGAGCAGGGCCAGGCTCTTGTTGCTAGTACGTCAAAATTTGCGATACCCCGTCTAGCTTGTGTCGCTTGCATTGTCGGAGCCGTCCGTATTCGCCGGGCTCACTTCTGGGTTGCCTTCTTGCCCCTTTTCGGTTCTTAGCCCAACCACAGCTGGCCGCGCGGCACTTTGCCAACGCTGTCCGCATCAGCCAGAACCCTAGCAACCTGATTCAGATTCTCAAGCGCCAGCTGCCGCCCCAGGTCTTCCTCATGATTATGCAGGATCTGCAGGCCAACGCAACCGAGTAAATTTGCTGTTTTGGGCAGGGCCCACACGCACCAGTGTCTAGATTTAACGGATGCTACCGACTCAGCCTTTTTCCTCCTTCCTTTTTTTTTTTAAAGCTGAGAGCAGCTTTTGTGCGCTTGTATTTGTTTGAGTGTCTGTGTGCGTGTGCGCATTCTTCTTTCTGCGTTTTGCTTTTCTTCCAGCTTTACTTCAGCCTTTACCCAGACCAAAATTTGCCCACCCTGACTGGTCAGGGCTGATGGATCGTCAATTTGCTTCCAAAACTTGCGCTTCCTTGTACTCGCCGTGCTGAGCTTCCCATGTCGGTCTGCCTTTTGGTCTTGGCTGCGCAGAGGTCTCGTTTGAGCGTTTTACTGGCTTTGGTGATGCCTTGATCCTGCTGACTTGACTTGCTTGTCATGCAGAGGACCCCCCCTCGCCCTTCCAATTTGTTGCTTGTGCGCTTGTCAGCGAGTTGAGTTGGGCACATGATTCGACTTGCATGCAAACACAGACGCACGTCCATTTGCACACAGTCGCTGTTGAGTGCCTTGGTAAACTCAAGTTCGAATAAAATTGCGATTCAGGATTCACTAGCTGTCTCAAAAGGCACGTAAAACTGACGCTTCACCTCTCCCCAAGCTTGAACATGGCACCAGAATATCATAGGCCCATCACAGGCTATGGAGGCAGGCAAAGTGTGCGAAAGGAGGGGAGAGAGCAGGGAAGAACATTAAATGCTCCTACTTTTTCACCGGCTCTCGCGCCAGTTCCTGGGGCGGGCCCCGAGTGGGAACCGCTGCTTGGCCCGCCGTCGCATCGCTCGGCACGGCAGGGTCTGTGGTTGTTGAGGCACCCGCTGGCGTGTGGCCGGTCAAGTGATGAAGGACTGGCAAGGACTGGGTTTGACTGACTGGAATGGTTGGCGGCGCCACCTGATTGGGTGCGCCCGCCTCAGCCGTCACAGTTGTAGCCAAGGATGACTTCGGTCGCACCTCTGGCGCGACATCCGAGCGTGGCGTGGCAAAAGCCGACAGGCGGCCAGCAGCCCGCTCTGAGGGGCTGGGTGAGGTGGGTCGGGTGCGTACAGTAGCAGATGTAGTTGTTGTTCCCTTGCCATCTTCCGTTGGTTGAGGTCTGGGCATCTGTGAATAGCCCATCACGTCCGAGGGCCCCTCAATGATAGCACCGCGCTGGCGTGGACGCCAATAGGTAATCTCGAGATCATTGCATGAAGACACAATCTCGCGAATCAGCATGTGCTTGCGCGGTACGTGTTCACCGTTCTGGAAGTTGGTCGTCTGTGCCACAATAAAGCCCACCTACACAAGATACATATCCACACCAATGCGCAGAGGGGAAAGAATAAGAAAAGGGAAGAAAGAGAGAAGAAAGAAATGGAAACCTATTTTTGTGTGTCCTTGCTCGGCGGATGTGGATGGTCCTGGGACGAGACAGGGTTCAGCGGAGATTGCCCCATTATACCTTGAGCGCGTTGCCGTCTCCCACATCAATGTCTCGGACAAAGAACGAGGATGCCGTCTCGTCGAAATCAGCAGATTTAGTGCGCAGGAAAGCTCGGTAGCGCTTTTCAAGCTCCTCCAACTTCCACCATGGCGTATCCACGGACACTATGCGATGTTGCCAGAATCAGTGTTAGAACAGATGGCTCTGTGCCGACTGCGAGGGCTCGGTCGCGGCTGACTCTTGGTGAGTCTCTGCAAAGAAGGAGATGCGCAACCAACCTTGAATAAAGGTAGCTTCAGTCATGGGGCCAGCACGACGAATGTTCGTCAACTCCTTGGGATATAGGGAATGGTTGGCAATGGTCACCACGCGGCCTGATTACGGACGGAACCATGCAGAGCATGAGTTTGATGCATCCCGTTTTGTGGCAGCAGTGGAGCTCAGGCAAAGGTAGAATCTGTAGTATGGCCACTCACCGTCCCAAACACGGAACACAGTCTGCGAGAGACTCATGCTAATCACATACATGGGATCCCATCCCGGCACATGGCTGTTGACGCAAGCGACCGAAAAAAAAAAATGAAAAAAAAAAAAAAAAATTAGAAAGAAAGAAAGAAAGAGTGAGCAGTTGGTACTCGCTGCAAGCACGACCATCGAAGACAAATGCCTCGACTGTATGTAAAACGCACACTCGATCGCCAATATCAAATGGGTGCATGACCTGCACAACAAGTGACGGCAGCGTGAGAATGAGCTGGGTTGCAAAAGCTCGGCTAGGGAGGGGTGGTGGAGTGATGGAGCACGCAACGTACAAAGAGGAAAATGAACGAGTTGAAGAGCTAAAAGACACGGCCAGAGCAAGCCAGGAGCGGTCGTGAGACTTCAGAGCGCGCTCCGAGAAAAAGGGCAAGCAAGATGGGTCAAGGCGATGGATGCGCACGTTTTTGGCCGATTCGGCAAAGATGAAGGACAGCGCAAAGAGCGTTGTGCCAACCGTTACCGTGACCTCCGCATAGTCACCCGTGGAGAAGACAATGTTCACCAGGAAAAGGGTGATGATGATGACCGCCGCTGTCAAGAAGGAGCCCAACGCCTGCACGCTCGTTCAAAAGGCAGTGCAGTGCCCAAGGTGAAGTTGCATCGAGATGTGTTCGCATCAATGGTCCCAAGAGCAGAGGCCGATGAGGCATGGTCTCTGTTTGTCTGTGTCTGGCAACGTCCAACATGCAAGCCTTCATGCAAGCTATTGCAACATGCACCGCACCAAAAACGCACCTGCACGATCGAGTCTAGATCCTTGAGGCTGAGCGCCAGATGTTTACGCTTGTGATACACGCGGCTCATGGCTTCTTCCAGATCGCTAAGTGCGAGATTCTGCTTATCGTGTGGGTCAAACATCTCAAGGATGCGCCGACGCATATCTGGCGAGCTGACGTAGGGCGAAGCCAGGGCTGTGATGGCTACATGATCGCCGACTTCATGACGATAAAAAAGCGCCTCGGCTGTTTTCATGGCCAGCTAGACAAGCATTAAAAAAAAAGGAAAAAAAAAAAAAAAGGAAAAAAAAAAGAAAAAAGAAAAACAAAAAAAAAAAAAAAACCCCTCCCATGAGAGAAGGTGCATGGGACCCACACACACCAACACACGTTGAATTACAATAAGATGGGCGCTCTGCCCGGCCCTCTTTCGACAGTTAGGCCAGCAGGGTATGCTGGGTGAGTTGCAAGAGTGTCGAAGAATATACCTTGCGATTCTTGATGGCCAAGCGACCGTGGCAGGTCGTGAGATAGGTATAGCGCACTGTTTCAAACCCCACCAACATGGCTGCGGTCATCTCGCTATCATTGGCTTCAATCAGGTCTTGGATAGCCTTGTCCGCCTGCCAAGCCACGACACGCAAAAATGATGGTGATGGGATCAAGGATGAGAAAAACAAGAACTAGGCAAGCCGGGCAGGTTGTGGGGTTGCTACGACAAGATACCTCGCCCTTGACACGATGGGCATTGCTTTTGGAGACGCGCGATTTGTGTCGATTGATGCGGCGAGAGGGATTTGAAGCGCGTTCATTTGAATCCGACATGTGAGGCTCCTCCTGACTTCGAGTGTCACTCTTGTTGCGCTTATGCTTGGTCTTGTGCCTTTTCCGCTTGGCCTTGTGCTTATGGCTGCTTTCCGACACCTCGGTCGACTCCTCGTTGCGTGAGGTGACCGAGTCAAGGTAGCCGCCGTCGTCATCGCGCAGATTGACGGGGGCGGGTCGTTCGATAACGGAAGTAGTCCGGCGCGAGCTAGCGCGTCGCACGGGGGTCGGCCCCTTCTCACCAGCTGTGTCCACTGCTGTCTCCTTGAGGAGTTCTTTGGGTGTACGGGCGGGACTCTGATCTCGAGCGGGTTTCGAGGTTGGGACTGGGGCTGGGACCGGGGTGGCTTCAGGGGTGTTCCCGGACTGAATGGTGCTGAGGGGTGCTGCTGCTTGAGCGGATGTGCGTCGTCCTCCCCAGCCCCGGCTCTGGCCGAGGGAGGTAGAGTTGTTGACGCTGGCATCGGTTGTTTCAGGCTTGCGTTTCTTGCGGCGGAGAAAGCCTCGAAACATGCCCTGGAGCTTGATGGCGGCATCGTATTCGGTAATGGCAGGCTGCTCTGTCAGCTTGGGACGGGGCTGTGGATCAAAAATCTCTGCCATTTGCATGTCCTCAGTCAAATGCTCCAATACTTCCTGTTCTTCTAGAACCTGCTGGACTTGGTGCGCGTACTGCAGCATGCGGTTCTGCAAGAGGTCACATCATGGAGCAGAGTGAAGAAGAACGACGCAAACAAAGCAAAAGGCGCGGGTGTTGGACTCAACGTTGCGGCGCGCTTTCACCCAAAAGGGTGCAACGTACACCGAAGCGCAGGCGAACGAGGGCCATGGCACGTAGAATCCTAAGCGGGGAAAAAGGAATAAGCTAGGAGTCGGGATGTTGCGAGGGGACGGGCGGCATTTTCAAAGAATCGGGGGTCGAAACCCAAGAGGAGCGTACAGAAGAATGGCGAGGAAGATGTTCACAATGAAGAGGCGAGGGATCCAAAAGGTTGCATCTCGGTCAAGGGTGCGCTCGGAGCCATCGCTACGGCGGGCGGGAAAGGGATTGACGCCAAAGACGGCTTCAAACACAATGATGACAAGAACACTCCAGATGAAATAGGCAATGCTGGTGTAGAGGGCAGTGAAGACAAGGCGGCGCCGTTGAGACTTGTCGAGTTTGATGGCAATGGTGATTGTGAACCAGACCACGGCACAGACGCCCATCCAAAGGCCAATGGCTGCGACGATAAAGATGCCCCAGGCAGGAACGCTGGCATTGGCGATGAGAGTGCCTGGCCAGATGATGCGAGCGAGAACTGAGATACCGGCTATCACAATGGCCACCGTGAACCAGCCGAGCCAGTGGCGTCTGTTCCAGCTCCGCCATGCCGTCTGTTCAATGGGCACCAGCAGCGAGTCACGGTCGATGCCCGTTGACTTTTTGGGATCCATGCTGGCGGGTTGGCAGTTCAAGACACAGTCACAGTGCGAGGACCAGCAACCACTGCTGCTGCGGTACAACTAGCAGAAACTCGAGGGCATACGAGACCACTGGGTCATGCTTTCCTCCTTTCAATGCCTGCATAGACACGACGAGGCCTTTTTTTTTTTTTTTTTTTTCTGTTCGGGCGAGGGCAGACGCAATGCTGGACCACGGCCCGCACGGCAGCCCAAAGCAACTTCTATACTGTCAAAGTCCAAGTCACACAAACGCGCGTCCCCACGTTGGCGGCACAGAGCACCCCCACCCCCACGATGCATTCGAGGCGACCCGAAAAAGGGGGAAAATGATGCCAGCAACGCGCGTGGTGTGTGTGTGAGCGCGCATGCGCATCAAAGTTAAATTTTTTTTTTTTTTTTTTTTTTTAAAACGACTCCAACAATCCCATGTGTTCCAAGCCTTGAATGGGGGGGTGGGGGATGGTATTCTCATTCCCTGGCTCAATTTCAAACGACTGGTTCCCGTTGCTCCGTGCTTGACGGCTGGTGAAGAAACAGCTCCAAGACGTAGAGACTGGGCTCCGTGTCACGGCTCTGCTCGGGGGCCGGCGATGCACAGCCTCCGTCGTTGCTGCCATTTGACATGACCAGCAATGCATGACGTCATCAGCACACACACACACACACACACACACACACACACACACACACACACACACACACACACACACACACACACACTATGGGAAGTTCGAAGAAGCTTAAGGAACAGTTGGAGGGTCAGCAGCTCCAATAGCTTTAGTTCAAATCAGTGGGTGGGCGCATCAACGGGGTTAGGGTGCTTGTGTGCATATGACCATCGCTTGCCGGCACACCACTCCCACAACCCGTGAGGCATGCAGGCATGGTTTGGTTGCAAGGCGAGAGCTCACATCGGGGAGAGAGTGTGGCGGTTTTCTTTGCATGGGCAAGCACCTGTCAACTCGGCGCCTGCCTTACGCCACTGACCGATCTGCCGCCCTGTCTTTGTTCTTTGCATAGCGATGCAACTGCCGCGGCCATGCGTGCCTCTGATGGCGACGCCTCTACTCAGACCAATACGCCAACAGCCGAAAAGGCATCTCTGCTCCGGTTGCCGTTTTCTCGGTCACGCAACGTGTGTGTGCCCACTCCTTGTATTGTTTGCCTACTTCTGTGTGTGTGTGTGTGTGTGTGTGTGTGTGTGTGTGTGTGTGTGTGTGTTTTCCAACCAGGGTCACCCAGAGGCACCAGAGCGGCAGACGGGAAGAAGATGATGATGATGGCGACGACAGGGACGCTGCGGCGATTGGCCGCCGTGGGCACGCGCCGGGACCTCAGTACCAGCTTGGCGGCGGCTGCGCGCGTTGGTTTTATTGGCCTTGGTCAAATGGGCAACCGTATGGCGAAGAACGTCGCCAAGGCCGGACACGATCTCGTCTTGTACGACGTGAATCGCCAGTCCGTTGACGAGGTGGCAGCCACGTCGGCCAAGGTGAGTTAATCGTGGTCTCAATTGGGCCATTCAAGCTTGTACCTGTGGTCTTGTACCAGTAGCTATGTATGAGCCACATGATTTCCGCTCACGAGCCTCTAACGTCAATGTGTCCAGGCTCGCGCTGCCGACTCGGTCGCCGAGGTCGCTGCAGGTGCCGAGGTGGTCATTACCATGTTGCCGGAAGGGTACGCGGCCAGACGCTTTCTGAATGGCGTGGTGCTCGTGATTATCATTCGTCCTTGTCGCGAGCATGACTCACGTTGTCGCCGGCTTTGCCGCCCCTTTGCTTGGCACTTTGTTCTGCGCGTGCACGCATGCTCGCGTGCAACAGCTCGCACGTTCGGGGCGTGTATCAGGGCGACCAGGGCCTTTTTGCGGCGGCCTCGCCCGATACACTTTTCATTGATGGTTCCACCATTGATGTGGCCACGGCCACCCTGCTGGCTCACGAGGCTGAAGAGAGTGGCCATGCCATGCTGGACGCCCCCGTATCTGGCGGTTCGTAGATGGAGTGCCCTCCCTGGCTTGGCTCGTACCCCTTTCTTCGTCAAGCGCAGCATGGTTTCACTTGACCGAATCGGATCGATGCGTGGCAGGTGTCGGAGGCGCTGAAGCTGGCACTCTGACCTTTATGGTCGGCGGCACGCCGGCCGCCTTTGATCGTGCGGCCCCCGTTCTCGCCTCAATGGGCAAGAATGTCGTGCACTGCGGTGCCAACGGAACGGGGCAGGTCGGTCCCCCCCTACGTCCCCTTCTTGTCTGCTAGAGCACATGGCGGGGAGAATGGGCTGCTTCTCACTCTGGTTCAATCCGCCACAATAATCCTTCATGTCAGGTTGCCAAGATGTGCAACAACATGCTTCTGGCCATTGGCATGCTCGGCACCTGCGAGGCTATGGCCTTGGGTCAGCGCATGGGCATGGACCCAAAAGTTTTGGCCGGTATCATCAACACCTCCACCGGCCGCTGCTGGTCCAGTGACACCTACAACCCAAGCCCCGGTGTAATTGATGGCGTGCCCTCCTCACGCAACTACGAGGGTGGCTTTGCCACCGAGCTTATGGCCAAGGTCCTTGCGCACGGCACACCCCATTGCTGCCACATTCATGCGTTTTTGAGGAGCAATTCGCACAACTTGGGCATTTCGCACCCCTTTCCTT